AAAAAAAATTAAAAAACCAAAAGCAGAAAAGGTCTGGGGGCGTGGTTTAGGTAGTAAAGCCCCTACATAGCAAGTGGGAGACCCTGAATTCAAATCCCATAAACACCAAAAATAAATGGGTAAAGTCTTAAAGGCTTGGTATATGTGCCAGGGATGAGTTAAGGGTAAGGACTGGAAATTAGGTAAGTATGCTGAGAAGGTGAGTGTTTTGGAATCCTGGATTTTCTTTCTTTCTTTCTTTTTTGGTGGTGCTCTAGCACTCAGTGCCTATACCTTCAGTCCCTCCACCAGTCCTTTTTTGTGGTGGGTTTTTTGAGAAAGGGTCTCATGAACTATTTGCCAAGGCTGGCTTTGAACCTTGATTCTCCTGATCTCTGCCTCCTGAGTAGCTAGGATTACAGGCGTGACCCATGGCCACCCTGCTACGGGTTTTTTTTTTTTTTTTAAGTCAGTGATGCAAGTGGGAATGGTGTGGACGTGTGTATACTCACAGAATCAGGACTCTCGCTAAATCAGAAGAGTTGAAAAGACATGTGTCCCCACCTTCAGCATTTCTCTTGTTCCCTGATGAGGAAGCCGGGGCCTAGAGAAGAGAGATGGCCTCCCCAAGGCCTTGGGGTGCGCCCATGGAACCCACTACTCCTTCACCACACACTCTTACTAGTGTTACTAGTAAAAGGTGGGAATAGAAATTTCTGCCCCACTTCTTTTGAGTTCACATTTTGGTGCATATCAGTAGTGACAGGGCGGAAAGAAAGAGCCCCTGGAAATAGAACTGAGTGATATAGCTTCCAGGTTTCTGGAAGCTGTGTTCTTCATCCTCCTTCATCTTCTAGGAAAACAGCTTTCTCTAGAAAAAGCTATTTGTGGCCCTTTTTTTTTTTTTTTTGTCTGTTTTGCCAGTACTTGGGTTTAAACTCAGGGCATCATGAGTGTTAGGCAGACACTCTACCACTTGAGCCATGCCCCCAGTTCATTTTGCTCAGGTTATTTTGGAGATGGGGTCTTCTGTATTATTTCCCATCCTCAAACCATAATCCTCCAGATCTCAGCGTCCCAAGAAGCTAGGATTATAGGTATGAGCCACCAACACCTGGCTAGCTTTTTAACTTAATAGTGTGAAAAAAGTTTTGTAAAGGTTAGAAGTATAGTTATGTCAATTGCATATTTACGTGCATAAAAAAAACTAAAAGAGAGTGAAGCCCTGATTTCAAACCCCAGTCCCACCAAAACCAAACAAACAAAAAAACTAGAAGAGGGCTAGTTTAAGTGGCCCAAGCAGTACACCTGCCTAGCAAGTGTGAGGTCCTAGATTCAAATCCCAGTACCACCAAAAAGAGAGAGAGAAAGAGAGAGAGAGAAAACTGGAAGAAATTCTGAGATAATTAAAAAAAAAAAAAGAGGCATGTGTAATAACACATGCCTCAATAACAGCTACTTGGGAGGAAGAGGGAGAAGGATCTAGATTCAAGATTCAAGGCCAATTTAGACAAAAGTTAGTGAGACCCCACATCAGAAAGAAGACTGGTATGCTGGTGAATTCCTGTGGTCCCAGCTACTCAGGAGGCAGAGGTACAAGGATCAAGGCAAAGTTAGCAGGAAGCCTTCCGTGGAAAACAAAACTGAAAGCAAAGGGACTAGGGTGTGTTCTAATTGGTAGAGCAGTCCCCAATGCAAGGGGAAAAAGAAAAAAAAAAAAAAAAGAGGTAAAACCACAGATAAAAACAAAACAAATGTGTTTTAAAGATTTTATCTGACTCATTCAATGAGGGAACTAGTCAGATGATCAGACCTTTCAACTGATTCAAAAAAAGAAGCACGAGCTGTTATACTCCTGATCTCTGCCTCCTGAGTAGCTAGAATTATAGGCTTGAGCCACCAGCACTCAGCTTAATTTAAAAACAAAACTATCCCTTTTTTTTTTTAATGGACTATCGAAAAACATCTTTAAATATTAGCATTGAGCTCAGTAGTAGAGTACTTACCTAGCATGTGCATGGCCCTAGGTTCAATGACCCAGCACAGCCAATCAGTAAACATTAGCATTTCCTAAAGCGCTTAAGAGCAGATTGTGTTTGCCCACACTTTTTTAGAAACACGTGGTTAACGTGAAGTATATCCAGCTGCTTTTTTCCTGACGTTTTAAACCACCATGTTTGACCTACAAGAGTTAAAAGCCCAGCTGTAGTCTAATTAGACTGACTAGTAGTCTAATTAGTAGCCTTTTTCCCACTGATTATTCAGTCCTCTTTTTCAAACTTGGGTATCAGAACAATTTACACTCTGTAAGGTCTAGGCGATTATAGAGACAGCAAGCATCAGAAAGAAAACCCCTCCGCTCTCTTTTTCCATGAGACCAAAGGTTCCAAAGTCAGTCATTGCCACTGTGCAGGGCTGGGCAGGGCTGGGCAGGGCTGGAGCTAAAGGTGGAGGTGAAAGCATTTGTTACTAGGCGACCTGTGGTAGTCCAGCGGCTCCTAGGCTTGCCTGCTCCTCTTCCTCCTTCCTGTAGCCCACACCTGTCAGGCTGACGGGTAGATCTGCCCTAACCAGGACACTGACCACTTGCCTGTGGCTATTTCAGTTTAAATTACATAAAAGTTCAGGTCTTCAGTCACAAGTTGTTATGGCTACTGGATCAGAGAGTGCAGATGTCAACATTTCCATAACACAGAGAATTCTACTGCAATGAATGACTGATCCTTCCCCTTCCTTCCCTCCAGCATCTGAATCTCTTTCCCATTCCTTCCTCTGCTTGCCAAGCTTGTCATTCCAATAATCAATGTCACCTCTCACAACGACTCTCTTTGACCAACTTTAGTTAAGTACCTTTGAGCCCTCTTTTCAAGTAGGCCTTGACCTTGGGTTTCCATGTCTGTACTTGCCTGATCTAGGAATCCTAAGGCCATTTAGAGAGAATCTTCTAATGTGGAAATTTCAATATATAATATCTGATCAAATTCCTCCCCCCACTTTTTTTTTTTTTTTTGGTGAGACTGGGGTTTGGCAATGGGTTTTGAATTTAGGGTTTCATGCTTAAAAAACAGGTGCTCTCCTGCTTGAGTCACACCTCCAGTCCATTTTGCTCTGCTTATTTTTTTTTTGGAATTGGGGTCTTACAAACTATTTGCCTGGGCTCCTATTTGCGAGGTCCTCCTAATCTCAGCCTCTCAAGTAGCTAGGATTACAGGCATGAGCCACTGGTCCCTGGCTTGACATTTGTTAAAATGGGGGTTTTGTGTGTGGCTCAAGTGGTAGAGCACATGCCTACTGGCATAGCAAGCATGAGACCCTGAGTTCAAACTCCAGGACCTCAAAAAAAAAAAAAATTGTAATGAACGAAGATTTTTTTTCAGGGAATGTTGTTCTGGACCTCTCTTTCTGAGATGATCCATTTTCACCTGTGAAATGTCTTTCTATTCTAATATACATTTTTACGACTTAAAAAAAAAAAGGCTAACAAGTAGGAGGCCCTGATTTCAAACCAGTTACCACAAAAAATACAAAAACAAAGGCGAGCAAGCATGAAGTCCTGGGTTCTGTATGTGTGTGTGTGTGTGTGTGTGTGTGTGTGTATAACCAATGAGGAGAGACAATACAGACAAGTGGAGATTTATGACCAACAACCAGAGTGAAAGGTCAACGGATAGAAAATTACTAAGATGAGACATCAGACATAGAGTAGGGGGATTCTCCCTAAACTCTACTAAACAGGATTTTTTTTTTCTTTTTTCTTTTTTTTTGCAGTGCTGGGGTTTGTACTTAGGGTCTATACCTTGAGCCAATCCACCAGATCTTTTTTGTGTTGTTTTTTTTTTGAGATAGGGTCTCATGAACTATTTGCCTGGGCTGGTTTTGAACCTCGATCCTCCTGATCTCTGCCTCCTGGGTAGCTAGGATTACAGATGTGAGTCACTGGCACCAGGCTCTAAACAGGATTCTTGTTGAAGGCCAGCAAGAGTGAACAGATATGAAGGATGAGGGAAGCTGGCCTGGTAGTTCAAGCCTGTAATCCCAGTTACTTGAGAGGCTGAAGCAGGATTCAAGGCCAGCTGGATACTGTTGACTCTGACTCATGTCTGTAATCCTAGCTACTCAGGAAGGTGAGATCAGGAGGATCTAGGTTTGAAGCCAGACCAGGCAAATAGTTTGAGAGACCAACACAAAAAAGGGCTGACAGAGTGGTTCAAGTGGTAGAGTGCCTACCTAGCAAGTGTGAAGGCTTGTAGCCCTGTGTTCAAACCCCAGTGCCACCAAAAAAAAACCCAGCATGAGTAGCTTCAAGGAGACTCCGGCGCCAGGAATGTAGCTCAATTGTAGAGTAATTGCCATACTAGGCCCTGAGTTCAATCCCCAGAACCACCCCCCAAAAAGAAGTATTAGGGATGCCAAGTTTATTTTTGATGGTACTGGAAAAAACACCACCTTTACATAATTAATTTTGAAGAATCATTTATGGAAAGGGAATGATAAACCAGCAGAGTGGTCTACACCTGTAATTCCAGCACTCAGAAGGCTAAGGAAGGATTGCAAATTCAAGGCCAGCCGGGGCTACATAGTAACACCTCATCTCAATTGTAAGTGGGGAGAGTGGCCAGGAAGGAATGCTGAAACAAAGAAATGAAGAGACACAGGAAGATTGCTAAAGAGTCTCATGTATAGGACCATTAGTGGGGCGAGAGGGGAAGGGAGAGATAAACAGTTTGTCCTAAGGGATGAAACAGACTCCTTGGGGTGAGCTTTCTGCTCCAAGAGCTGTACTAGGCAGCTGACCACCTGTGGGATGGTCACCCGAGTACTACAAGTCCCAGCAGGCCCCGCGGCGGAGGCGGGGCTTGATGACCGTTATGACGCTATGGGCGGGGCCAGTCCGGATCATCGCTCCCTCGGGCCTTTAGCCCCGCCTCTGTCTCTTTCCCTGCCCTGTTGCTGTTGCGCCGTTGCTGGCTGTTGGCCCTGGTGAGTTCCTGAAGTGAGTTGGGCCCTCGGGTTCCCCAAATTGAGACGTCCAGTCCTGAAAAAGGGCATGGGCGAGCGAAGACGCGGCGGGTTTCAACTTTCACCTCGTCGGTTTTCTAGAGTGACGGTCAGTGGGAGTTGCGTCCGGGAGGGCCTGGAGCAACTTCCGCGGCCCCCGGGGCTCCAGGGGCAGTGTTCCGCCGAGGGGGTTCAGGGCTGAGGCACTTGGGGTTGTTGAGGAGCTCCTGGACGACAGCCAGGGTCCGCACGCCACTGCCGCCCGACGTGTCCTGGAGTCCCGCCCGCCCCCGCCGCCCCTGGTTGTGCGGATTCCGAATCCCTAGGCTGGCCCGGAGCCGCCCTAGGCTTGGCAATGCTGGCGGGCCTGCTGCGTCACCTTGAGCAAGTTACTGTCTCTTTGGGCCTCAGTTTCCCCTCTCTAGCAGTAGGTTTGATCCCTAAAGCCGATTCCCATTAGCATTCTGCAATCATTAGGATGTTGTAGGAAGCGAAGAAGAAAAGGTGTAGTGACCTGCTTCGTTACAGTTAATAGCCCGTTCCCCTCCCCACTACACCGTTAGCTCAATTTAGCTTAGGGGTTCATGTTTCCACTTGATTCGACATGCTAACTCCTTTCTGTCGATTGCATTCTTTGCTCCAGGTGCAAGCCAACAAGTGGTTGTGGGTGGTTGGAGCTGAGTATTGTAGCTCAACTCTTGGGGTTTGCAAAAAGCATAAAACAAAGGACTTTATGCAGTTGGTCTATGTAGCTTACGTGGGGGTTATGTTTGTTTTGCAGTGCTGAGGATCAAACCCAGGGCCTTGTGTTTTCTAAGCAAGTGCTCTACCTGTGATCCACACCCCCCATCCCCCATCCACTCTTTGTAGCTTATGTAGCACACGTGTAGCTCCCAGATGGCGTGCTTTCCCAGGTATCTTCAGGGGCACTTGAAACTCTACCCTTTAGCAGACACGACAGCTGTGGAGTGGAAAAGACCTTGAAAAGGGTAGTCAGTAATCCTGACTTACCTGGCACTAACAAGTGGTACAAGTTCTAGAGTTCATCTGGAGTTTAAAAAATTTAACTGTGGTGGCACGTGCCTATAATCCCAGAACAGGGACTGGTGTGGCTTAAGGGGTAGAGCATCTGCCTAGCAAGTGTGAGGCCCTGAGTACTGCCAAAAAAATTAAAAAGAACCTATAAGTCCAGCACTTGGGAGGCTGAGGCAGGAGGATCTTGAGTTTGAGGCCAGCCTGGGTTACAAAGCAAAACCCTGTCTTACAAAAAGCAACAACAACAAAGTTGACTGTACTTTCTGATACAATGTCATGCTTCCTTATTTTCTTAGATAAAAAGAAAAACAGTTAAAATAACTTAAACTTTTCTTTGATTTAGGCTTATCATTCATTATACTTGGAATGGTCTGTAGAGATGCCTGGTCCATGCTTTTTATTTTTATTTATTTTTCGGTACTGGGCTTTGAACTCAAGGCCAACACCTTGAGCCCTTTTTTGTGATGGGTTTTTTCAAGATAGGGTCTCCAGCTATTTTCCTGGGCTTGCTTTGAACCAAGATCTTCCTGATCTCTGCCTCCTGAGTAGCTAGGATTAAAGGCATAAGCCCTGGGTGCTTGCTTGGTCCATGATTTTTTTTTTTTTTTTTGGTCCGTGATTTTTATTGAAGTTGAAAAGGAGGTAGTGTCATTTGGTCAAGACCTCAGGCTAGGTAGTGATAGAACTAAGACAGGAGCCAAGAATCTGTGCCCCTGGCCTAGTTTCCTTTTCATTACACTATCAAACAATGTCACTGTGATGTGGCTTAGCAAGAAAAAGGTAGATAGGATCAGTAGGGTTTTCACAGTTTCTTGTTACCTGCACCTCACATCTCAGAACTATTTTTTTCTGTGCTCCTAGTACTGCTGGCACTGTGATGGTGTGGAGTGTGGAATGAGAGCTTGCTTAGTTGGCAAGCTGGACAGTCACTTCGAATAATTGTTCATGACCATGGTCATGTTTTTTGGGTTTTTTCTCTCCTTTGTTGTTGGTATTGGCGTTTGAATTTAGGGCTTGGTAGGCAGATGCTCTACTACTTGAGTCACACCTCCAGCCCTGGTGAGTAGTCTTAAAGGCTTCTAAGGGCATACTCCTCCCCCCCACCCCCGCCCCCAAGACATTAGAAACATAAGGAAATAGAATGAACGAGGAATTTCGGACTAGAGCAGGTGGTTTAAAAATCTGAGGACCAGTGGTTGTATTTTTTGGTTTTGCTACCTCAGGGCCATTTGTATACGGTGGTGATAGTATCCGCAGCAAGCGTTCACTAAGTGTATATGTAAGCATGTCCCAGGGCCACGGAGGAATGGGATCCAGATCAGTTCATCCATTTTGCTCATGGCTAGTAGTTTTAGAAAGTAAAGTAAGCAAATGAATTAGATTAAATATTGGTTTTTATTTTTCCCAAATGAAGAATTGGTTTGCATTTCTCTCTTGGCTTTAGAAACATTTGGTTTCTCTCTGTGAACTAATCAGTGAAGCTACCTATAGTCTTCATTTCTCTCTGTCCCTTTTTTTTTTTTTTTTAGTTTTCATTTCTCTTGAAAAATTTACCTCCTGGTCCTGGTATTGGTAGGCTAATGTAGCTGAGTACCAGTGGTTCACGCCTGTAATCCTAGCTACTCAGAAGCAGAGATCAGGAGGATCTTGGTTCAAACTCAGCCTGAGTAGTTTGCAAAATCCTATCTCGAAAATACCTAACACTAAAAAAAGGGCTGGTGGAGTGGCTTAAGTGGTAGAGCCTAGGGAGCATGAGGCCTTGAGTTCAAACCTCCGTATCGCTAAGAAAAAAAAAAAGACTAATCTGACGGTGTTGGGCACTTTTAAGTTTTTATGCTAAAAAGCTTATCAGTATAGTTTGCAAATTCACTCAGAAAAGAAGCAATAGAACTGGCTGTTGCCTTGCTTCAAGATAAGAGGATCTATGCCCTCATGGAACAGTCCTGGGAGTAGTATATTAGGCTTAAAAAGCTCATTAGATGAAAATATGTCAGGTTTTCTTAGGAGCCAGGAGTCAATTCATAGGACTAGTTTTAAAATACATTCCCATTATTGCCAGCTCCCCTGAGGGACCTAATCCTTTTGGAAACCAAGCAGAGGAAAGAAAGAAAAAAAAAAAAAAGTAACAACTATGTCAGAAGCCAAGTAAAGTGCCTTTGGTGGTTTGTGGAATTTTGGTTTTATTTTTTCATGCTTGATGGTTTTGTTTTTGAAAAAAATCCACTTGTTTTCCCTGGTCACTCCTTACGTGGCCAAGTCTTTGATTTGGGAGTAAGAGTAAAGAATTATCCCACTACTTTTTCATGACTCAGTAGCTCTTTGGGCTTCTAAATTTAATTTTTGCTCTTCTTAGCCTCTGAATTATTGCCAGAGTCAGGAGTAAATGGTAGAGAGGTTGATTAGAGGAGAAGAAAATTGACACTTAAATCATTCACATTTTTAGGGTTGGGAGCACCTGCTCAAGTGGTAGAGCACTTGCCTAGTAAATTCAAAGCCCTTAGTTCAAACCCCAGTACTAAAAAAAAAAAAAAAAAAATTCAAATTTCTTTCCATATCCTTGCCCCACAGCTCTCCACAAACACCAATTTCTAGACTGCTTTGTTAGAAAGGTACTTTAATAAGTCATTTTGGAGCCCATTTCTCCCAGGGAATTTTACTGGGAGGAAGGAGAGGCTTTAAGGATCACTGATCTTAAAAATCAACAGACCTCTTCCCTCTAGGAAAAATTGAATGGAGTACTTCCTCACTGACCCAGTACACATGGGTATGGTTATGCCCTTTCTGTCCTCAGCTTGGTAAAAAGAAAGAAGGGAAGCCATTGCTGTTCACCAGTCTACCTGCCTCAACCCTTTCCCCACTCTTGGCAGAGAAGAGTTTTAACCTTTATTTCTAGAATGGTTGAGTTCTGAACAATTGTAGGGACCACCGGGTGTCCTCTGTGTCCTGCTGGGAATGTGATGAGAGTTCTGAAATAGGAAACTCCATGGAGTCTCTTGCAGAGAACCAAAGCAGAGCTGGGGGCTGGGAGTGTGGCTCAAGTAAGTGGTAGAGCACTTACCTCGAAAGTATGAGGCCCTGAGTTCAAACTCCAGTACCCCCAAAACAAGACAAAACAAACAAACAAAAAAAAACCAAAGCCCTTCACTTTTCTTGACTAATGATTGGGTTATTGGCTGAAAGAAAAGGGAAAGTTTCCTTTGTGTGCTCAAGCCTCAGCCCATGTGCTTTTTTTTTGTTTTGTGTTTGGGTAGTAGTGTCGTTTGAACTCTGGGTCTTATGTCTGTATCCTAGGCAGGTGCTAAGCCACACCTCCAGCCCTAACTTTTTGGTTTTTTTCCCGAGTGCTGGTGGATTGAACCCAGGGTCTTGCACATGCTACCACTGAACTATATCCCTACCCTCGTGAGCTGACTTTGTTTTGCTAATAAGAAAAGAGAGGCTGTACCAGCTACTTGGACCCTTGGCTAGTCTTGCCTTACAAGGTGGCATTCATTTGTAAAATGGCTTGCCAGAATTTGAGTGTGTGGAAAGTGGCTGGCTAGTGGAGTGTGAATTTGATGAGTTCGTAAGGAAATCAAATTTGTACCTTTTGTGTTTTTGGCACCATGCCCCTGGAACGAGCCATGCCAGCTGAACCAGTAATACCAAGAATTGACATTATACTTGGAGATTATCATACTTTCACACTATTTTATAAAAGAGAAAGCTGAGAAACAGCAGCTAATTACCATCATCATTATTACTTAGGATAGGGCAATCCTTTATTTTTACACACTTTGAAGAGGCTTTCAGTAAACTTTTTTTTTTGGTGGGACTGAGGTTTGAACTCAGGGCTTTGTGCTTACAAAGCAGGTGCTTTACTGCTTGAGCCACACCTATAGTCCATTTTGATTTTGCTCTGGTTATTTGGAGATGAGGTCTCAACCATGATCCTCCTGATTTCAGCCTCCCAAGTAGCTAGGATTATAGACATGAGCCTGGCACCTGGCTTAGTAAAGTCTTTCCAGTGGACATTAGAGAAAATCAGCCATCAGTAGCTCTCCAGCTAAGGGCTTAGTGTTCCACCTTCCCTAAGTGGTGAGGTAGAGGGTGGACTTCTTTTCCTTTAATTAGTTCACTCCACTGCTTCTTGGTGGTACATTGCATCATTTTCTGCCAAAGCTAACATTCTATGAAATCATCAGATTCTATCTTGTGCTCTTTTTGTGTCAGATATTAACAATTCCATGTGCATATCCTATTTATTCTTTTTCAAAAATACAGCATCAAGCTGGGTGCCGGTGTTCATGCCTGTAACCCTAGCTACTCAGTAGGCAGAGATCAGGAGGATCTTGGTTTGAAGCCAGCCCAAGTAAATAGCTCTCGAGACCCTATCTCAAAAAAAACAAAACAAAACAAAAACCATTACAAAAAAAGGGCTGGCGGAGTGACTCAAGCAGTAGAACACCTTTCCAGCAAGCATGAGGCCCTGAGTTCAAACTCCAGTGCTGCCTATATACAGCCATTGAGTTAGTATCTTGTAGGGCTGTTCATTTTGGATGATCGAGGGAAGATCTACATAAATAATGACCTATGTTAATGCCCATGTTTCTTTTCTGCACGTCAAAGGCATGGCATCCAACCACAGGCCTTTGTCTCTTCCCTGAAAGCAGCTGCAGGACCACCCACCAGCTAACAACACAGATGCCTGCTGCAAAGGATCCCATGATGAGTTTTTTGCAGTACTGGGGATCAAGCTCAGGTCCTTCTACATGGTAGGCTAGCACACTACCCCTGAGGTACCTCCCTAACCCACACTTAACCATTATTTACCTGCAAAAGCCCCTTCCCTTTTTACTTTTTGATGAATGACATGTATATCTTACTCATTTTTTCAACAAATATCTAATTGGCAATGACTTTGCATTAGGCATTGTTAGTGTATACCACAGTGATAGGGTTATAAGGAAAATTACTGAGTTAAGGTACTTAGGTTAATTGAGGGACAGGCCCTAACTCACTCTTACCTGAGCGTTCTTCATGATCTGTAGTCAAAGGACAAATTAAGTCATTTTATATGCTCAGATAAATTGGTGCTTTAGGCTTAGAACAAAGGGAACATGCTGACGTCAGTGTGACTGGAGACTAGTAGGGAAACAGTCTGCAAGCTGAGTAACTACCCTGTCCATCTTCCAGGCACACAAGAGAAACCCTCATCACACAGACAACAGCTTATTTTAGGGGGAATAGAGTGGAATGTGACCCCCAACTGCTCCACTTTGAAAAACCTCTGTGAATTTGAGGTTGAGCATGTGGCTAGAGTGTGTCCCAAACCAGAAGGCGGGTGGTCTCTTGGTTCCTTAGTTTGAATTGACAGTTCAGTGCTCCAAAGTCTTGCTGTCTCTGTGGGAAAAAAAAAAAAAACTGACTTCTGAGAAATTGGAAGAAGAGGCCTAGTTGTATAGATTTCCAAAGTAAAATCAGGAAATAGGTAGGATGGGGCAGGGCTAGAAGAACTATAGGGGTTTCTTAGTTATTGTACTTACCTGCTTTTTTTAATTATATGTGTGTACACAACTGTCCAACATGTTCCAATAGCTGAACTTAAAAGGTATTGTGTAGTATTTACATATGGACATCTGCAACATTTTTTGCATGAAAATAACAAGACTCACTAATATTAGACCAGCAGAGGCATTTAGAAGACAATGCACATGACTTATTTGGAAAGCAGGAAGTACTACAAGTCAACAATTCAAAACACTTTTTTTGCTGGTGCTGATGGCTCACCTCTGTAATCTTAGCTACTGGGGAGGCAGAGATCAGGAGGATTGTTGTTTGCTGGTCAGCGTAGGCAAAAACAAGACCTTATCTCAAAAATACCCAACACAAAAAAGGACTGGGGGACTGACTAAAGCAATACAGCACTTGCCTAGCAAGCATGAGGAAACATTTAAAAAAAATTTGTTTTGAGGTACTGGGGCTTGAACTCAGGATCTTCACCTTGAGCCACTCCACCAGCCCAATTTTTGTGAAGGGTTTTTCGAGACTTTGCCAGGGCTGCCTTCAAATCTCAATCCTTCTGATCTCTGCCTCCTGAATAGCTAGGATTATAGGCGTGAGCCACTAGCACCTGGCTTAATTCTTTTTCTTTCTTTCTTTTTTTTTTGGGGCAGCATTGGTATTTGAACTCAGGACCTCATGCTTGCTAGGCAGGTGCTTTACCACTTGAGCCACTCCACCAGGCTTTAAAATTTTTTTTAATTTTTTATTTTTTTATTTTTTATGATTAATTTATTCATATGTGTGTACATTGTTTGGGTCATTTCTCCCCCCTGTCTCCCTTCCCCACCCTCTCCCCCCACCAGGTTTTTGTTTTTTTTTTAAATGGTACTGGGGATTGAATCCAGGGCCTTACAGTTGGCACACACTAGGTAAGTGCTGTACCACTGAAGTATATCCCCAGCCCAGTTTCCCATCTAATACTGTGATCTAGAAAGGTGAAACATGAATTATTAACTAACTTCATTTTATAAATATTAATCCAGACTTCCTTGCTGTCTTCCAAATATGGGTTGTATTTCTCTGCTTCTTTGCTGTTTCACGAATGCCATTTCCTTCTGCTAGAATGCCCTCAATCACAAACCCATTCATCAAAATCCAAAATCCAAATCTTCCTTAAGGGTTTATGTGAGATTCTAGTCACTCAAACTTTTCCTCATTTTCATTCAGTTGCATCTCCTCTTTTGAACCACAGCTTTTTTTTTTTTTTTTTCCCCAGTACTGGGGCTTGAACCCAGAGCCTACACCTTGAGCCACTCCACAGGCCCTTTTTATGTGATGGGTATTTTTGAGATAGGGTCTTGAGAACTGCCCAGGCTGGCTTTGAACCACGATCCTACTGATCTCTGCCTCCTGAGTTGCTAAGATTACAGATGTGAGCCACCGGCACCTGGCTGAACCCACAGCATTTTGCACTTATTCCATTCATTTGATAGTCACTTGTACACTTGTCTGTTCTCTGCATGGGACTGGATTCCATTAGTGGGTAAGGTCAGTGTCAGGAAAAAAAACCACCACCTCCACTACAACATTAATAATCAGTAAGATCCATTAAGCCCTTTCTTTGTGCAAACTCCCTGGTAAATATTTTCTTCTGTCACTCAACATGCATCTACTTTGTGTGAAGAGCTTATTCTATGGCAGGCACTGATTTAAAGGCTGAACACTTTAAATCAGTGTTCAGTGTTTATTACCTCACTTAGGCCTCACAGAGTAGATGTTAATATTAGCCTCATTTTATAGATGAGGAAGCAGTCACAAAGCTCAGCTTATTAAGTAAATTGGGGGATGCCTTTTTTTTTTTTTTTTGTGGTATTGTGGTTAGCTGGGGACTCTACCACTTGAGCCACCAGCTTTTTTTTTTGTGTTGGATATCTTTGCGATACGGTTTCTCCAACTGTTTGCCTAAGCTGGCCTCAAACCACAATCCTCCTCACCTCTGCCTCCCAAATGGCTAGGATTACAGGCATGAGGCACCAGTGCCCAACATGTCATGCCTTTAGAAGGTGGAAAACTGGGATTTAAGTGATACCATTCTGATTTCAGAACCCATGTTTGTTACAACTGAATGTCACATAGCCTCTATCTTTGTTCTGAATCCCAACACATCTCCTAACATAGTGTCTTATGTATGGAAGGGCCCAATAATTACAGGCAAATAGAATTAAATGGAAAAGCAAAGTCCTGAGATTGACTTTCCAAAAGTCACAGGGCCTGTTGGGATGAAAACTCTAGAATTTTGGTCTTAAAATTTCTACTTTAGGCTGTTTTCTATAGGCTACCTTGTTTATTTCACAGTTATTTTCTGCTAACTGTGAGCAGAAAATAAGGGTTTTGAAGGCTGTGGTGCCTGTAGTGAAGTGGTCAAAGATACTTTCTGAAAATTCTTACAGCATAGGAAGTTAGGAATGTGAAATGGCTCAAAGTGAAATAGAAAGCAAGTTGTGTGATCTCAATACTTGTCAGGATTTTGCTTTTCCTGACTGCCTTGAACAGAAGAATGCTCTTGGGTGAGAGCCCAGAAATCTCCTGCATTTCAGGAAACCCTCTTTTGAACCTTACTCTGTTTATCTCATAACAGGACCCCACCATGGAAAAGACAGTGGAAAATCCCCCCACATCAGCTGTCTTGCTGGATCATTGTCATTTCTCTCAAGTCATCTTTAATAGTGTGGAGAAGTTCTACGTCCCTGGAGGGGATGTCACATGCTATTACACCTTCACCCAGCATTTCATCCCCCGTCGAAAGGATTGGATCGGCATCTTTAGAGTAAGTAGTTACTTTAGTATCAAATGAGGGAACTATAGGTAAGTCTTAGTTACCTATAGGTGTGGCTCCCTGTGTGCATAAGCACTTTATATCTTTTGTCTGGCCAGTTTTAAAATCCTAAACTAAGCTTTGCAGCACTTCCCTCATCACACCAATGTATGCATGAAACTCAAATTTTAATGTCATCCTCAAGCTAAAATCCCCAAGTTTTGTTATGCTGTCAAAGCAGATATGAACACTTTTTAAATGATTCTGTTTTGAAATAATGACTTGATTGAGATGGGTTACCCCTTCTGTGACTTTAAGCATTTCTTCCTTACTAGGAATAGTGTTTAATTTGTTTTGTTTTAATATGAATATCACAAATCTGGTAAGGATGTTCAGAAGTTACTTAGTTTGAGATCCTGCATATAAAAAATTTGTTCCTGAATAAGTGTGTCTTACTTCTTTCCTTTCCAAGGATAGAAAGTTTATGAGCTCCCTTAGTGACCTCTTCAAGTTTCTAATCATTCTGTCAATTCAAGTACAAAAATAGTGTTTTAAAATTTTAATCAACTTTCTAAATCCTCATCTCCCTTCGATTTGTGTGTCTCAGACCTCTCCCTCTTCCCTCTTTCTCCCTCCCTCCTGCCCTCTCTCTCACATACATATACATACACATACACCTATGCACATACCCCATAATATAAGATCTTCCTGTTTCCAGAGATAGGAAATAAAGATCAAATATAAGTAATTTACATTGCTAAATCCCAGTGCCAGTGACCTTTGATTTGACACTTTAGTATGTCATGTGCCTATTAGCAAGTGCTATTCATCCTGAAATCAGACATTTTTTACTGTGCAGGGAAGGAACTTATTGCTTATTTATATTCCTCATAATTGTTTGAAAGACCAAGCTTATTGATGAAGCAGTGGAAGCTGGAGATTACAAGATTGGTGTTTGGAGGTAGGGATAGTAGACAATTAGCAGGATACTGGCAGCTTCTGGGACTGCAGGATATTGAATCATCAGACTAAGAAGACTAACACAGAAAATTGATGCTCCAGAGTGCTTTCTATCTTGGAAAGAAGGTGGTAGCTGTTGTTTTTCTTCTTTTCATATATGGAAAAGTACAATATAGATTATACCTCTGCTATACCTTTGTTATTCTGTACATCAGCCACATGTGGCTATTAAGCACTTAAAATGTGGCTAGTATGACTGAGTATCTGGATTTTTTTTTTTTTTTTGACTGTACTGGCTTTTGAATTCAGGGTCTTGTGTTTGCTATTCAAGCATGCTACCACTTGTACCTCCAGCTGCTCTAGTTATTTTGGATATGGGGGTCCTTTGAACTATTTGCCCGGGGTTACCTCAAACCTGCTGATCTCTGCCTCCTGAGTAGCTAAGATTACAGGCGCGAGCCACTGGTGCCTGGCTACAAAGCTACTTTTCACTTTTTTTTTTTTTTTTTTTTGCAGTATTGGGGCTTGAACTGAACTCAGGGGGCCTTCACCTTGAGCCACTCTGCCAGCCCTTTTTGTGATGGATATTTTCGAGATAGGGTCTTGTGAGCTATTTGCCTGGACTGGCTTTGAACCATAATCCCTCCTGATCTCTGCCTCCTGAGTAACTAGGATTATAGGCGTGAGCCACCGTGCCCGGCTTGTGTGTTGTGCCAGCAGCCCCCTGGCATGAGAAGTATTATCTCATATGCACAGATAAGTACAATGAGTATCCTTGAGGGATGGTGAGTTTCCCGTGGTCTCAAAGTAACTTAACTGGTAAAGTAAGTTTGTTTGACTTCTAACTCTCTGCCTTTCCTCCTCTAGTTTGCCGAATTCCTTTTAACAACAAATGGTTAATTAAAGAGTTGACAGCAAAGTTTTGTCCCTCATATCTCACTTTAAAACTCTGCAGTGTTCTTTCTGTATAGCCTTAATCAGACAGATTACCACCCTAACACCAGTAGTCCCTGGCACCACGTAGACACAAAATAATGTTTTTAATACATGTAATATGTTACTTGTTTTATTTGGTGGCAGTAGAGTTTGAGCTTAGGGCTTCATGCTTGCAAAGCCGGTGCTCTACGGCTTGAGAGATACAGTCTCATGAACTATTTGCTCAGACTGGCCTTGAACCACCATCCTCCTGATCTCACCCTCCCAATTAGCTAGGATTGTAGGCATGAGACACTGATACCAGGTAATATATTGCTTCTAGATGTTGTGACAGCTGCCATCAACGACAGAGCCTAAAGCAAGGTAGAAGTCAGCTTTCCTTCCTCCAGTGTATAACCAATCCTGTGCTCTGTATTCTCCTTGACCTGAGAATTTAAATGTTTCCAAGGTTTCAGAGAAGAACTAGTATGTCACAAAAGGACATGCTAGGACTAGGACTATTCACGTGGAAGAGCCAAGGATGGAAATTGCAGGTGGCTAAAAGTTGTTTGCTTGTTCCAAGGAAGCAGTAATTCTTAGGCCCTCCCCAATGATATTTCAGTCATAGTGCATTAAGAACTCCAGGATGTGAATAAGGACTCCATAAAATTCCTGTTTTCTCTACCACCCCAGGCCAAAGTGGCTCTGAGAGGCTTACAGCAATGGGGTGTATATTAATGGGGCTCTAAAATATGCCCTTGTTTTTTCTGATGAGTTTTTGGTGTGTAGCCTTTTCAACCCTGCTAAGATCCTTTAATACATAGAAATGGAATTTATTTTTAGCTCTTTCTCTTCCCACTAGGCTCAGGCAGGGTCAAAATATGGCAATAAATGTAATTTTGCTTCTAGTTTGCTGAATAAATGTTCTTCCCTTGAAGACACATGGCTCCCTTTCTATTCTCTGGTGTCCTTTTATCATCCAGATAAGATGTGAGCCATCTTTTACCCCTTTTCACATTTAGTGAAAATATTTCCCACTTCATTAGCTTTCTGCTCTAAGTCATCTTTTGCTCTATCCTTATGTCATGTGATTTATTATGTTCAATATTTAGAAGAAGTCATTATGACTATCAGATTTTGGTTATCTTCATCACTAAAAAGCCCTTATTAAGCATGTATTACGAAAAACATGGTCATACTTGTGGTGGTCATGCCTGTAATCCCAGCACTTGGGAGGCCAAGGCAGGAGGATTGTGAGTTTGAGGCCATCCTAGGCTACATAGTAAGATCTGTCTCAATTTGTTCATTCCTGCCCATGCTCTCCCCCCTCCGCACCCCTGCAAAAAAAAGAAAGAAAGAAAAGGAAAAAACACTGAAGGAAGAACCCTTTTCTCCCTCTGCCCCCAACACACATAAGTCAAAAGAATGCATTTTTAAAATGTGGTAGTATAACCAGGTTGGATTGTGGTAAGGCTGAATTGGACATAGTAGAGGACAAACCAATGAAGAGAAAGTAGCAAGATCCCAGAACTTTTTTTATTTTTATTTTTGACATGGCATCATGACTATGTTGCCCTGGTTAGGCTTCAATTCAGTCTGCCTCAGCCTCCCAAGTAACTGGGATATATGCATGAGCCACCATGCCTGGCTCCTCCCAGACATTTTTCACGCAGTCATTTTCAACTGTATCTGACTTGGAGCTATAATTTTGGGCTTTTGAGGAGTACTAGAGTTTGAACTCAGGGTGGGTTTTGCATTTGCTATGCAGGCCTTTACTGCTTGAGCCATGCTGTAGCTCTTTATGCTCTGATTATATATTTTTGTAGTACTGGAGTTTGAACTCAGGACTTCCTGCTTGCTAAAGAGGTGCTCTACCACTTGAGCCACACCTATAGCTCTGCTCTGGTTTTTTGTTCTGTTTGTTTTTGTCTTTCCTTTTTTGGTGCTGGGGTTCAACCCCAGGGCCTCAAGCATACCAGGCTGGCCTTGGACCTCCCTGTTGCCACCTCCTAAGTGGTTGGGATTACAGGCGTGAGCCATCTGTGACTGTCTGGAGCTCATGTCGTGAGTGTTGAAGAGTCAGTTTTTTATTTCCTTCTAAATGGATATTTTGAAATTTATGAGTACATCAATTTTTGGTTGTATCAGGCTTTTTTCCCCAGTAGTCAAAAACACTAATCTTGTCATAATAAACTCATTCTGTTGTATTTTCCATACATGCAAATAAAATTAAGTGCATTTTAAGAAAACATAGCTCAAATAAGGCTTTTTCCCTGGAGCCCTGTTGGGTGTTGAATGAGAGCCTCTTGTCATTACAGGTGGGATGGAAGACAACCCGTGAGTATTACACCTTCATGTGGGTTGCTTTGCCCAGTGACCTAAAAATGGAATTAGCCAAACAGCAGGAAGTCCAATTCAAAGGTGAGAACAATACTAGATCAAAGGTCTATAAACTACAGCCAAGACTAATTAATTCCCTTGAGTTTGAGCTTTCTGAGGCAGATCAAGACTTCTGGATTTAAATGTTTTTGAATGGCCCTTATTTTGTATTAAAAATCTTGTTCTATTTTCAGCTTATTACCTGCCCAAGGATGATGAGTATTACCAATTCTGCTATGTGGATCAGGATGGTGTGGTTCGGGGAGCAAGTACCCCTTTCCAATTCCGCCCAGAAAGTGAAGAGGACATCCTGGTCGTTACCACGAAGGTCTGTAATCATCTCATCTCAAGCCCTTCCTGCCAGGGTAGGGTTGAATTTGTGTCAATAAGGCTTTATGGTATACTTAAAAAGATACTGTTGGGAAAAATCTATACAGTACCCACTCTAACTCATAGCTTAGGAAACTGGGAGAGGTGGCTTACACATAATCCTAGCTACTCAACAAGTGGCGATCATGAAGATTGCAGCCTGGGCAAAAAGTTCGTGAGACCCCATCTCAACCAATAAAAAGCTGGGTGTGGTGGTGTGTCTGTCATCCCAGCTATTCAGGAAGCATAAACAGGAGGATCATGGTCCAGGCCCACCTGGCATAAATGAGAGACCCTATTCAAAAAATAACTAAAGCATAAAGGGCTGGGGGCATGGTTCAAGTGGTAGAGTGCCTGCCTGGCAAGTGTACAAGCCCTGGGTTCAAACTCCAGTACTGCCAAAAAAAAAAAAAAAAAAAAAACTTAAAAAGAATATTAACAATAATTGATTTATCCCTCATCTAGAACTTCTGTAACTCAGTTGGCATTCAGTTATTCCCTTAACTTTTCCAGGTACTAAATTTTTGTCTGCTATATACCGTAACACTACATACAGTAAATGTAAAAGCTCCATTGAGGAGAGAAATACCAAATATTCTTTGTGTATCTCTCAGTTCTGACCCAGATCCTGTCATACATGAGTATTAGATTTATTTACTTATTTAGGAGGACACCTGCTTTTCTTTCTTTTTTTGACGGGGGTGGAAGTTGGGGAGTGGTACTGGGGTTTGAGCTCAGGGCCTCACACTTGCTAGGCAGGCACTCTACTTCTTGAGCCACTCCACCAGCCACACTACCACCTGCTTTTCATCTAGCCCTGTGGTAGGTACTGGGGATACTATTGAAGTTTGACAACACTGTGCCTGGCCTTAAGGAGCCTCGACCTGTGAGAAAGACCATATAAGATCTACAAGAAGAATCTTTTTTTTTTTTTTTTTGATAACTGGGGCTTGAACTCAGGGCCTATATCTTGAGTCGCTCCACCAGCGACTGTGATTGGTTTTTTCAAGATAAGGTCTCTCAAACTATTTGCCTGGGCTGGCTTTGAACCGAAATCCTCTTGCTCTCTCTCTCCTGAGTAGCTAGGATTATAGGTGTGAGCCATTGGTGCCCGGCTGAATCTACATTTTTCTGTCACTCTCCCTTGTAACTTTTAGTTTGTTTATTAGAGACTTGGCCTTGCTTTGTAGCTCAGGCTGGCCTCATATTCACTATGTAGCCCATGCTGGCCCTGCCTCAGCCTCTTAAGTGCTGGTATTACAGGTGTGTGTCACCACACCTGGCTTTTCCTTTGTAATTTTTATGACTTTAATTTTTGCTTGTCTGTCTTTTGTGGTAATGACACGCTTTTTTTTTTTTTTTTTTTTTTTCATTTTTCTTTTATTATTCATATGTGCATACAAGGCTTGGTTCATTTCTCCCCCCGCCCCCCACCCCCTCCCTTACCACCCACTCCACCCCCTCCCGCTCCCCCCCTCAATACCCAGCAGAAACTATTTTTCCCTTATCTCTAATTTTGTTGTAGAGAGAGTATAAGCAATAATAGGAAGTAATGACAGGCTTAATGCTGCACTATACAGGCATACCTCTATTGCATCCTTACCTACATACTGGGGAACTGCTCCCATTTGTTATACACAGATGTCACTCTAAAGAGTGGGAATCAGCAGATCCTCATATCCCAGCATATGGGAAATTTCTGCTGGAGGGATCTGAAATGTTCTTTTATAGGGAAAGGTGGAAGAAATTGAGCAACACAATAAGGAGCTTTGCAAAGAAAACCAGGAGCTGAAGGACAGCTGTGCCAGCCTCCAGAAGCAGAACTCAGACTTGCAGGCTGAGCTCCAAAGGAAACAGGTATGGCTGCTAGTTAAAGGTGAATATGCAGCATGGAGATCAGTACTGGATGGTGTCTCTTGTCCAACACTATTTTCTGTTTTGCTTATGTTCTCACTCTGTTACACCAATATCTGTGAATTGGCACAGTGTTAAAAGTTTTATATGGATCAATTTATTTATTAAAAAAAGAAAGTAACCCTTGTAAGCCTCAGGTTACTCAGCTACAAAATTGGGGTGATAGTATTTCAGGGGTGAAGTAATCAATGATAGAACCTAGATTCAAACCCAGACAGTCTGTTTATACCCTTTGCTTACTTAAATCTTGAAATATTTGCTTAGATTAACAAGAATGTAGCTATAAAAAGAGAGAAGAGCCAACTGTGGTTGTACATAATTGTAATCCCTGCCTGGGCTACATAGCAAGACCTTGTCCCAAAAAAGCTATCCATGGTGGTGTCCAGCATAGTGGGACATACTTGCCTGGAATCCCAACACTTGTGAGTCTGAGGCAGGAGAATGGAGAGTTTGAGGCCAGCCTGGGCTATACAGTGAGACTCTCTCAAAAAAACAAAAGAAAAGAAAAGAGTATTAAGGTGAGGTGTATATTATCTAACTCTTTGCTACTTCTGTTTTGAGTCATCCTCCAAATCAGGTGATGAGTGAGAGTTGATGATGCCAGAAGCTAAAGGAAAATTTTTCTCTAAAGGCTAAAACCAAGAAACTTGTGAAGCTTGGAGCTAAAAGCAGGGAACCGATATTGATGTACAAGGTTGACTCCAGTGGGGTGGAGGAGAGGGGAAATGCTTAGGACCAGTGTGGTGGCTACTAGCCACATACATAGTCAGACCCTTTCTCAAGGGAAAAAAAAATATTTTTTTTTTCATCTAATTTTTTTGGGGGACGGGGGTAAGACTGGATCTCACACTTGAACTCAGGACCTCACACTTGCTACCTCACTCTCTACTACTTGAACCAGACTGCCAGCTTTTTTTTTGTGATGGGGTTTTCCTTTTTTTCCAGTACTGGGGTTTGAACTCAGGGCCTCATGCTTGCCAAGCAGGCACTGTACCACTTGAACCACTCCGCCAGCACTGTGATGGGTTTTTTTGAGATAGGGTCTTGTAACTATTTTCCTTGGCTGGCTTCAAACCATGATTCCCCTGATCAGGGAATCAGGCGTGAGCCACAGATACCTGGCTACATGCATCTTTAATATGGAAAGAATGGGCTGGGGATATAGGTCAGTGGTAGAGCACTTACCTAGTATGTATGAGGCCCTTGGGTTTGATCCCCAGGATGGCAGGAAAAAAAAACCTATGGAAACAGCATAATTAAGGACATTTTTAAAACCAATAAATAAATAGTAATTTTTAATATAAAGGTATCTTTACTTGGATATTTCAATCAGTGCTATGTCATGCTATGCCTGCCATGCAGTATATGTTCAATGCCTAAAAAATACTTATTGGTTGCCTAAGATACTAAAAAGTGTCTTAGAAATGGTCTGTTCCTTTGATGTTTCAATCTGCAGGAGGAGTTAGAAACCCTACAGAGCATCAATGATAAGTTAGAACAGAAAGTGGAAGAGCAGAAGACCTGTTGGGAGACTGAGCTGCTTCAGTGAGTATGCATTATGTTCTTGGATAAGAGAAGCTGCTGTATCATAGACATGCTTAGATAGAGTCAGATTAGACTTCTGCAGTTTGTTACAAAACACTCTTACTATTATGGCAGTGATAGGTGTAATTAACTGTAGACTTACACCAAGCCATCCTTAAATCATTTCTGCCCAGGGGAAGTTGACTTGGAGTCAGCAAATGTTTCACATAGTCATTTCTACCTCCACAGACTGAAAGAACACAACCAGAAGGTATCTTCAGAGAATGAGAAGATGGAAATCAGAGTGGATCAGCTTCAGGTGGGGATACCATACCTTTGCCAAAGGATATTTTCTTAGCTTTGCCACCACTGTAATCCAGTGGCCCAGAAAGATGCATTTCATTGTAGTGCCTAATGAAATAACCTTTTGTGTTAGTCAGACAGACTACCTGACATGAACAACTTACAGATCGAGGGATTTATTTCAGCTCACAGTTTGAGGCTTCAACCTGTCCTGGTGGGGAGTCTGTGGCAGAGTAGAGCAGCAGCTTACATCATGTTGGCTAAGAAGCAGAAAGAGATGCCTGTGCTAATTGGCTTTCTTCTTTCTTCCTGTTTTATTTTGACTGGGTCCCCTCCCATGAGATGGTGTTGTCCACATTGAGGACAGGTCTTCCCTGAGCACACACACACCTTAGTTAATCCTGTCCAGAAATGCCCTCAGACACACCTTGAGGTCTGCTTTACTAATCTCCTAGGCCGCCTCAGTCCAATCAAGTTGGCAATCAAGATTGGTCATAAGATTAAAGTTTGGGGTATGTGTTTTCCAGTCTGGGACCAGGCTATCTCACATACATATATTTCAAACAGTAACGATCCACAAGGAACTGAATAATTTGTTCAATTTATATGTATCACAGGCTTTTAAGAGGGATGAAAATCTTCTTCCCAATAGTTTTCAAACCTTTTTCTTTTAGCTGTAAAATCTTTTCAAGCAGAATCATACTCAAAAGCCTGGAATGTAAAGCAGATAGCAGCAAAATTGTTCTCATTTTTCATTTATTTATCTATCTATCTATCTATCTATCTATCTATTTATTTATTTATTTAGTGGTACTGGGGCTTAAACTCAGCCTTCACCTTGAACCACTCTACCAGCCCTATTTTTTGTAAAGGCCTGGAACTGTTTGCCCAGGCTAGCTTCAAACCGTGATTCTCCTGATCTCTGCCTCCTGAGTAGCTAGGATTATAGGCACGAGCCACCGGTGCCTGGCCTGTTCTCATTTTTTAAAGAAGAGCTTTAGCTGGCACCAATGATTCATGCCTATAATCCTAGCTACTTGGGAGACTGAGATTTTGAGAACAGAGTTTCGAGGTTAGCCTGGGGAAATAGTTTGTGATACTCTCCCTTTCCTTTTTTTTTTTTTTTGGTAGTACTGGGGTTTGAACTCAGAGCTTAGATCTTGATAGACAGATACCCTACTGGTTGAGCCACACCTCCAGATGAGACCCAATCTCCAAAATAAGCAGAGAAAAATGGACTAGAGGCATGGCTCAAGTGGTAGAGCACTGCCTTGCAAGCATGAAGTCCTGAACCCCAGTACTGGACAAAAAAATAGTAACTTTAAAAAAAATGAAGGGCTTTAATTTAGAAAATGGATTGTCCATCTTTGCTCAGTTGAATTTTAGATTGTTAGAATATAAACTAGAGCTGAAGAGTAAGGTAGATTTAAGGGGGTTTTAGCCATTGGGAGTTACTAGGGAAATACACTTGTGTTTCTGTACATTAAAATGGTAGCATTGTTCTGATTAGTTTTCCTTTTTTTATGTCTTGATGTTGTGTACTCACCTTTTTTGCTTTAGGCCCAGCTGTCAACACAAGGGAAAGAAATGGAGAAGCTTGTTCAAGGAGATCAAGATAAGACAGAGCAGTTGCAACATCTGAAAAATGAAAATGGCCAACTCTTTCTCAGTTTAACTGAACAGGTAGAGTCATGTCAGAAAACAACATTTTCAGGCATTTCCAAGAAAATATACATTGTACTTTCTCTACTGACTCTAGGAAAGATCTCAGAGGAAGCCAGCTTATATAAGGTTCTCCTCTGGCTTTACTCAGCAACTGAGAGACATACCTTTCCCTCTGCGTCCTGCTTGGTCATGGTTCAGCAGGTCCTTCCACCATATGTATGTGTTGCATGTATATGTTTTCTCAACAGTGGTATTGAAATCTGTGTTTTGCAGCGAGAGCACCAGAAGAAGCTTGAGCAGACAGTGGAGCAGATGAAGCAAAAAGAAATGACTGCAATGAAGAAACAACAGGAGTTAATGGCATGTCTGTCTTTGCATGGCTAAGTGGGAGGGAGCCTAATAAAGTGAGGGATGAGGGTCTGTTTTTAGGTGATAGAGAGGACAGATAAAACAGATTAGAATAGCATTCTGGATGGTTTCCTTTCCACCCAAAAGGACAGAGACTCTTCCATTTACAAGATGTTTAGGAGAGGTGGACATGTCTACTGTGTGATAAGTAATAAAAGAATATTGAAAGTTAAATATGATGACAGGTTGTAGTAAGTAGATCCTTAGACGAGGAATCTGAGGCTTAACTCCTACTCCCTCCTATAGAGTTATTGTGGGACAAACAAATTAATGACTATAAAGAACTGTACAACAGGAGATGACAACACTCCTTATTAGCAATTATCATTATAAATAATTCTGAGTTATGGTAATAAACTAATGAGAGCCTAATTGACTAAGAATTTCCTCTAATATGTTGTTGGAAAAGAGGCCTCTGGTGCTAGCAGAGCCTGGCAGTGGTACTTTCTGAATTGATGTAAGGGTGTGAGAAATCCTGATGTCTGAGGGCTATCCAATTATTGGAATGTGGCTCACATCATATAGGCATCATTCATTCAATCAGTCATTCAGTTGAGTACCTACTGTATACAAGATACTGTACATTTTAGCAGATATAAAAGAGTAGCGCAAAGTTTGCAAATTGGCAGCTTATGAGTCAAGTTCAACTCAAATTATTTTATTTGGCTTAGATGGAGGTTTTTTAGAAATTGAATTAGTTATCAACATTTGCAGAGAAGAATATTTCCCTTGAAAATTTGTGTTTCTCACTTCTGAAAAATGAGGGGATCTGGTGTTTTGAGCCCATACTGCTACACAGCAGTGTCTGGGGCTGAGTAGCTACTGTGTACTTTCGGTTGGTTGTATGTTCTCCATCTGATGGCAGTCTTGACTGTTTTGTTGTATTTACCTCCTTCAGTTCACTATGTACCTGGTCCCTTAGGCACATTTGAATTATGACCTCTGATGTAGCAAAGAAATTAGGTTTTGGTTTTGGTTTTGGTTTTATCGCAGGACTAGGGTTTGAACTCAGCACTTCATGCTTGCAAAGCAGGTACTCTGCTGTCTGATCCACACCTCCAGTCCATTTTGCTCGGGTTATTTTGAAGATGGCGTCTTGCAAACTATCTGGGGTGGCCTTAAACTGTGAACCTCCTGATCTCAGCCTCCCAAGATGATTACACGCATGAGTCACTGGTGCCCAGCTAAGAAATTAGTTTTTTTGTTTTTGCGGTTTGTACTCAGGGCCTCCACCTTCAGCCATTCCACCAGCCCTCTTTTTGTGATGTTTTTTTCAGGATAGGGTCTCACAAACCATTTGCCTGGGCTGGCTTCGAATCTCAATCCTCCTAATCTCTGCCTCCAGAGTGGCTAGGATTAGAGGCATAAGCCATTGGTGCCCAGAAAGAAATTAGTTTTAATTTCTGATCATTCACAGGTTTGAACCTCCTGTGACAGGTCTGGTTTCATTGGTTTTCATGAAATATTTTTCAGGACTTAATGGCTCTTACCTGTCTGATTGCAATTCTTTTTGTTGTTTTTGTTTTGTTTTGTTTTGCAGTCCTGGGATTGAATTGAGCGATTGCCGTGTTAGGCAAGCTCCCTACCACTGGTCTACATCCCCAGCTGATAGCAGTTTTTTATTTTTCATGTGTCCAAAAGCCTAACTGTGAGGACTATGTATCTTATGCTTCAGGAGCGTAGGAACAAGAAAACAACAGTGGAGGAACAGTTAGCACAAGAGGTGGAACGCCTAAAGGGAAAGGTAGAGACTGGGAGAGCCTGTTTCTTAGAGAAGTACAAAGAGTGCCAACGACTCCACAAACAGATCAGGCAACTCAGGGCTGCTGCACTGGTAGGTGACAGAGATAAAGGGCCCAGAAAAGCAAGGGGTGTGAAGGTTTGTGGTTCTTAGACCAAGCCCAGAAGATGTATACCCTTGTTAGAAGAGAATTTTCCCACTAAAAAGGAAGGGGAAGAAGTATATGGCAAGACACCAACTTGGGGTCCCTGGAAATATAGGCCCCAACCCAGTATAGCTTTTAAGGATGGTTTTTGTAACCGTTGAATGGGTTCTGGGACTCAGATAGTCCTTTCTTATTTCTGCCTTTTGAGGAAGTGAAGCAGAACCAGAAGAGCCAGCAGGAACCAGTGGGGATGGGGAGCAAGGAGCCTGCAGTCAGCACTGTCATCGGGTAGCCTCCTCTCACATTACTACCTCAGGGTCGGCTAGAAGCGCACATCAGTTTGGGCACCAGCATTCAAATAAAAAAATCTTGCAACAAAAGCCACAACTAGTAGGATTAGCTTAAGTGTGTTTGTGAGGTACGCGCATGTGTTTGTATGCAGGTAGGAGATGGGAAATAACTGAAGTCTGAAACTAGTTAGGTCAGCCCATCTTTCTGGAAAGCTCAAGACCCCAATCTGGGTTCCTTATAGTCTAGGTCAAGTGCCTTCCAACATTCCTCCTTCCATGGAATTTGTATCCAGGATGCCTGTCTTTATATTGGGAGGGAATCACACCAACTTAAACTTAACTGCCTCAGTCTTCATGGAGTGAAGTGGTCATTCTAAAACAATTGTCTCATGGTTAGGTGGGATTAAATAAGCCTTCATTTATCCCTAATTCTGATATGTTGTCTTAAGGTTTTCCCCAACCTTACATTTTCTTTCTTTAGTCACTATACTCCCAACAGAACAATCAGAACAAAACAAAAGTCTGCACCTTGATGCTAGCTCAAACTTTCTGGCATTGTGTCACTTTTCTGTAAGCAGCACCCTGTCCACAGTACCACTCCTTCCTCCAAAATGCCCTTTTCCCTTATCTCAGAATTACCCTTTGGGAAGGCCAGATCTTCTACAGTCTCTCACTTTGAACCCAGACTGTAATATGTGATCCTAATACTAATTTTTGTTGTTGGCAGGATGAGAACTTTGACCTGTCAAGAAGACTAAGTGAGAACAAGATTATATGTGATGTTATGCAGAAAGAGAAAGAAAGAATGGAAAGAGAAAATGATGTAAGTATGTTAAAGAGGGTAGAAAACTCCTAGGTTTTAAGGGGAGGAACAGAGTGACCCAGACATGGTGGTACAGTAAAAGGGCCCTTTTTGGGACGGTGATTAGAACACTTGCTCCTAAACAAAGAGCAAATTTAATCTATTTTCCTAATTTACCACAAACCTCTCTTTTTGTTCTGCAATTGAAACTTATTTGGCATGGCAGTTGTTATCTTGAAAGAAACAACCTTGACAAAAACCTTGCTTATTTGTTTTTAATTTCTTAACTGTTGTAAGTATTATCTTCAGAGAGGGGAAGATGACATCCAAGTCATTTTTATGCTAGCTGGGGACTTCTTTCCATCAGCACAACTTTTTCTTTTTTCTCTGCTGCCAAACCAGGAGCAGAAGTGGTGGTCTATACCAGTGCTGGACCCATGGTAGGCTCCTAACAAATACTGTGCACTCATTAATTCATCAGTTCATTCACTCATCCAACCAGTATTTATTATCTGTTGTATGTTAAACACTAAGTTATTATTGATTGCTTGCTTCCTTGATTGACACTTGAAGATGACAGCAAATAAAGTGATTGCACTTGAAGTCATCTCATGCTCAGTATCAAAGAATCAGGAGGCCATGTGCCCTTGCTGCTAACTCCTAGATCTATACCTTTAGCTGCCCTCCATTGTTACCATCTCTGTAATCCTGGGCTATGCCCCCAAGTGATTATTTCCATTTTTTTTTTTAATTGCAAAAAAAACCAAACTCCACATAACATAAAATATGCTGTCTTTTTTTGTGGTACTGGGGCTTGAACTCAGGGCCTTCACCTTGAGCCACTCCTTCAGCCCTTTTTTGTGAAGGATTTTTTGAGATAGGGTCTATCTCAGAACTATTTGCCTGGGTTGGCTTTGAACTGTGATTCTCCAGATCTCTGCCTTCTGAGTCGCTAGGATTACAGGCGTGAGCCACCAGCACCCGGCTAAATATGCAGTCTTAATAATTTTAAAGTATAATGCTCAGTAGTGCTACATATATTCACATTGTTTTCTAGAAGTGTATTCATATTGTTGTCCAGATCTCCAGAAGTTTTTCATCTTGCAACTAAACACTAATCTTAAAAGTAGAAATTATCAAGGGGGAATTACTTTTAATTTTATATAGATAACAAAATTTTATTATAAAATAAAGTTTATATATACATACATACATACATACATATATATATAATGGTTTTGGTACTGGGGCTTGGACTCAGGACCTTATGCTTGCTAGGCTGGCGCTTACAACTTGAGCCACTCCGCCAGCTGGTTTTGGTTTTGGTTTTGTTTTTTCAGTACTGGGGTTTGAATTCAGGGCCTACACTTTGAGCCAATCTACCAGCCTTTTTTCTGATGGATTTTTTCAAGGTAAAGTCTCACAAACTATTTGCCCAGGCTGACTTCAAACCTCAATCCTCTTGAAGTCTGCCTCCTGAGTAGCTAGGATTATAGGCGTGAGCCACAGGGATTGGCTTTTTTATTATTAATGCCACTGTGTTCCACTGGGGTCTACTTCAGGTCTTGTCTTTCTCATTCTCTTGACTTAGATAAGTATACCTTGAGTTTGAAATCCAGTTTTCCTAGATTAGTCTAATGGTTAGGGGGCAGGTTACATACACAATTTGTACCACCAAGAAAGAGATCTGATATTTGAAAGCTTTGTTTAGAACTATAGTCAAGCCCTCTTAAGATATTAAGAAGAAATTTACTTATTTTCTAAAAATTTTAAGCTGGGCATGGTGGTGTATGCCTGTAGCTCAACACTGAGGCAGGAGGATCTCAAGTTAGACGCCAACCTGGACTACCCAGTACGACCCTGTCTCAAAAAAACAAGCAAAAATTAAATACCCTCTGTGCTCCATTTGTATCTTGTTCTCTCTTGTCTCACTCTTTCATTTTCATTGCCTTTCTCCCATCCTCTTTCTGTTAGCCTATCCATTTGATGCAATGAAACATGAGCAAAGGAAAATTATACCAGAGGAATATTTACAAAATTGAAAGGGATACATTAAAGACTTAAAATTCTTTTTTGTGTTAATGTCATTAACATTCAATAAAAATGTTTAAATCCAGATATAAAGAACTCTGAAGGTCTTGGGATGTGGCTCTGTAGTAGAGCACTTGCCTTACTTGTACAAGGTCCGAGGTTTGCTCTCCAGCATTGCAAAAAAAGAAAAATAAATAAACAATTAAATTCATGCAATAAGAATTCCTGTTTTAGCTGGGAATGGTGGCACATGTCTATTGTTCCAGTTACTCAAGAGGTGGAGGCTGAAAGATCAAGAGTTTGAGGCCAGCCTGGACAAAGTGAGCGAGACTGTCTCAAAAACAAAATAAAAACAGAAGGCTGGGGCATGGTTCAAGTGGCAGAACATTTGCCTAGCAAGTGTGAGGCCCTGGATTTGATCCCTACTACCAAGTGCCAGACAGCTGGGTGCAGATAGCTCATGCCTGTGATCCTCACTACTCAGAAGGAAAAGATAAGGAGAATCATGGTTCAAAGCCAACCTGGGCAAATAGTAAGCTAGATCCTATTTTGGAAATATCCAACACAAAAAAGGGCTGGAACAGGAAATTAATGTGAGTCAACTCCCTGTATAGCTATCCTTATCTCAATCAGCAAAAACCCTTGTTCCTTCCTATTATTGCTTATATTCTCTCTACAACAAAATTAGAAATAAGGGCAAAATAGTTTCTGCTGGGTATTGAGGGGGTGGGGGGGAGAGGGAGAGGGCAGAGTGGGTGGTAAGGGAGGGGGTGGGGGCAGGGGGGAGAAATGACCCAAGCCTTGTATGCACATATGAATAATAAAATAATAAAAAAAAACAAAAAACAAAAAAGGGCTGGAAAGTGGTTCAAGGTATGGCCCTGAGTTCAATCCCTAGTACTGTGAAAAAAATAACATATCTTTGAACTATTGGGGCTGCTGTTGCTTTGAAGAATTATAGATTATATCATTTATTGGACTTCACCAATGCCACATTGCTAATTGAGAGCTACCTAGTAGACATCTAGCCAGCTCCTGTGGCCATTCTTTGTTAATGACTTTCAACATGTCTATAAATCCTCTATCTTTAGCTCTTGAAGAAGGAGAACAGCAGATTGCTGAGTTACATGGGTCTGGATCTTGACTCTCTGCCATATCAGGTGCCTAGTTCAGATCCAGGAGGTGCTGGACAAAAGCCAGGTCTCGTATATGGAAACCCATATTCTGGTAAGACAACTTTGCCATTCTAGCTAGAAGGCCCTTGCCTGCATCTCTTTCCCTCCCCCCGCAAAAAAGAAATTTTTGTCTGAGATGCTAATTAAGACCGGTTTCATTGTTAAGACTTGCTGGGCAGAAGCTGAGGGCCCAATAGAAAGATTACTGGGCGAGAAGTGTTAATTGAGAAATAAATCTGAATTCAGAAGACGCAAATCAGATCACTTGCCTAGAGGCAGCAGACACAAATTGAGTCCCGTGGCTATATTCCAAATGTATAAATCAGAGAAATGTGTCTGTGTAGAAGATATACACATACAATGCAGAGGAAGCTAATTAAGGTTTTAAAATGGAAGCACAAGAGGCAGGTTATGTCACCTAGAAACTAGATGTTACAGCATTCCCCCAGATGGCCCAACCAAGAGTAACAGGAGTGTGCTCTTCTGAGACTCCTGAGTGGTAGGACGGGAAATAGGGGTGAAAACAAGTTTTGTCACTCAAAGAATTGGGATGACATGTCCCTGCCAAAGGAGCTTTTCTCCTTTGTTTGGAAAAGCAATGCAAGACCTCATTTGCTTTTTTTTGGGTGGTTTAAAGCACCAGTGTTATTTTAAGAGTCACAACCAGACCTTTATAACAAACAGATGAACAGGTTTATTTTTTGTTTAAACATATTTTTAAGCACATTTGTGTTCTCATTTTCCCAACATGGCAGCCTTAGCAAGAAAGAATAAAAAGAAGGGAAAGACTATTTCCCTAACAAACTTTCTGGATGAGGAATGGGGAGACTGGTAGAAGAATCACCTGTTCCCAAATATTCAGCTGGGCTGTGAGACAGATAACTCAGGAAATGTTTCAACTCCTTGATACAGTAGTGATGGTGAGGCGCCTGACTGTTCAATCCTTCCCACACTCCACAGGCTACTCAGGAACCCAGTAACCACTGTAGCTGTCTTTCCAAATCATCACCCAGTGCTGCCCTGTCATGTGACAGAAGAGTCCACTAAGGAATCTTTAGAGGATTAAATATCAGTGCAGTGTGTTTACCATGTAAACCCAAAAAGTTTAAAGGTTTTGGTTATGCTGAATTAGAAGCACTGGGTTTCCTGTGTGGTGCCCTGAGTCTCAACCAAGAGTGTCCAGGTGGGAGGTATGGTTCAAATGGTTAAGTGCCTGCTTTACAAGAGCAGAGCCCTCAGTCCATCCAAAAGAAGGTGGCTTTTATGAGCCAGACACTGTTGTAGGCTCAAGGTAAAGCAATGAACAAAAACAAACAGAAAACTTTGTCCTCATTGGGTATATGTTATAGTTGGGGAGAGTTACTATGTGAATAAAGTATAATTCAGGTATGGAAAAGGAGAATAGGAAATGCCATGGGGTGGGCATGGGATGAACTGCAACTTTTACATATACCACCTAAATCCAATAAAAAAATTTGTAGAGAAAATTCCACAGTGGGGAAAAAGTCCTGCAGTCGATTCCCAGCACTGAAAAACAAACAAAATATAGGGAAGAAGCTACAAGTCAGTAAATAAATGAATATGTAATCGTGTGTATATAGCGTGCTAATATTTACTGATGGAAAGAATTCAGAAACTGTTACAGTGAGGAGAAACAAATATGTATAAACATTTAACATTACTATGTAGTGTTAACTAAAACATAAGCTGTGAAAATATAAGATGCACGGAAATCAGTCATTCCTGATTGTAGATGGGAGTGGAGGATCCTATTACATCTGTAGCATACTACGTTTAAATAAAACAACTGAAATAGACATGGCAAAACATATCCACTAAATCTAAAAAAAATGTATATATAGGCATCTAATTCATTTTTTTTTGTAGTACTGAGACTTGAACTCAGGGCCTTATACTTTTGAGTCAGGCACACAACCACTTAAACCATTCCATCAGCCCACTATATGCATCTAATATAAAAATGGACATAGTCTTAGTGTATTCCTTATTTAATTGTTTCTACTTTTATTAAAATCTCAGTTTCTCCATCTGATAATAGGTTTTTCATGATATATAACGTGTGTGTGTATATGCTACAGATGTAATAGGATCCCCCACCCCCCCCATCTACAATCATGAATATGATTGATTTCTGTGCATCTTATATTTTCACAGCTTATGTTTTAGTATATATATAACATGTATGTATATATATGCATACACACACACAGAGTTATTGAAAATGTCCTTTCCCCTTTCTCTTTATAATTGACCTAGATTTCTTCTTTCAGAAGTAAGTGGTGATGTACTTAAGAATCAGTCAGTGGAGAGAAAGAGAACAATGACGGTTACAGAAAGTATCTACTAGAACACAGCTGAGAATCAAGGGATGGTATTTTTTTATTGAAAAAAATATATTTTATTCCCTTTAGGTATCCAAGAAAGTTCTGCCCCCAGCCTGGTAAGTATGTGAGTCATGAGATTGTCCATAGCAGATCCCTACCTGCTTTGATTCATGGAAAAGCAGCCATAGGGAGATGGTTCATTTCGATAAGCTCCAGAGGTCAGCTAGATGAGTTTGTCCTGGGTCCAAAGCTGGGTTAGCCTTTTGAAGAGGGGAGAAGACATAGTTCATCTATCAGCATTCTTCTGTAGGTGTGCATCTGTGAGTTAAGTTGGTAGCATGACTAGGGAGGAGGTACAAACTAGGCAGCTAGCCAAGCAAGGCCACTTCAGCAATACTAGACTCTTTCAGTCCTGGGGTTAGAGGAAGCCCCAAGAGTATCTCCAAATGTGAATCTGTTCATTCATTCACCCATTATTTCTTGAGCACTTATCACGTGCTAATCTTTATGCTAGCCACTGAGTATACAGAACAGCTCACACTTGTACTGACCTCCTTGTTCTTCCTCCCAGCTCTCCATCGAGAGTTGCCTCATCTGCAACTCAGACTTTGCTGATGGAATCTGTGATCATACCTTGGAGCAGCAGCAAAGGCAGCCCCTTTGTTTGAATTGTCCAGTCTGTGACAAGATCTTCCCAGCAACAGAGAAGCAGATCTTTGAAGATCATGTGTTCTGCCACTCTCTTTAAGTCCCACCCAGCCTGTTAGATCTATGCCATACATAGATTTTATAGAATAGAACATACAGCTTCTTCTTTGAGCTATGAGTCAGGATTCTGCCTGATCTGAAATCATTAGGGTTTTACTTTGCCCTGCTGCCTGTAAAGGTGGAGTCATATCTGTTATCAGCAGGATGGTGTTCTGAGTTTCTACTTCCATCCCTGTGTATAACTCTGGCTTACAGCCTTTCACCTATAGTGCTCATTCTTCCTCAGGACTCCAGTAAAAATATCTCAGAATGAAACTGACCTGTTCTTACAGGCCTGAGTTGACACTAAGTGATTTGTCTTCCAAGTTTCCCCTTGCCATTCAAGATCAGGCCTTTTGGGTGAATTTGTACTCAGTCTCCAGTCCAAACCCTGGGAGTGGAGACCAGGGATTGAGAATTTCTTCCTTTTCCTCTTTCCTATTTCTTCAACTGGTTGCATTAAATTAGCCAAAAATGGTACATTAGAGAGTTCAGAAGATTTCTGATCTTAATATCTCAACTCCTAAAAGAAGCATCTTATTCATGACTGGTGATCAGGATATATTTCAAAGAGCTGGAGGTGAAGTGCAAGGCCCTGAGTTCAAATCCCAGTATCACTAAAAAAGCTTTTCTCATCTGGTGTGGTACATGCCTTTAATCCCAGCACTTTGGAGGCTGAGGCAGGAGTATCGTAAGTTGAAGGCCAGTCTGGATTACATAAGGAAACCATGTCTCAAGAAAGAAAGGAAAAAAAAGCCTTTTTGGCTAAATACCTCTGGTCAGCATTTTCTGCTCTTTCCTATGCACATAACTTTTCATGGTGTCTTTCTTAATGGCTACCTAGGGGTTAGAAACTGTGGGTTCATAAATTCCTGAACAGTCGAGTTTGAATATGGATGTCAACTATTAATCTCTTTAATATTTAAAATACTCTTCTTTCAGGGAATTAGGTAATTTAAAATAAGCATTTTATTTTCTTTTAAGTTTATAGATTAAGCAAAAATTTACAGAAATGGCAACTCTACCACTGACATCTCTTCACTTCTCTTAACTGTTAGGGCAGTTACGTTGAGGCGGGCAGGCAGGTAATAACACATCAGTTTGAGAAATCTTGGTCTCTGCCTATCTTGCATTTCTGAAACGCAGTATGGATTTGGGTACCCTTTGTGAACTAAATTCAAAGCCCTCTATCTAGATTTGCCTAATTAAGAAAGCAGTTCCCCTTCAGGGACAGAACAAATGGAAATGACTCCCAGGCAGTCAAGCAGCTGGTCACTAGAGAGACTTTTACAAAAACTTAAATGTGAAAGGTGATGTCATGAATTAAGGCTGAGGGAACTATGCCCTAGAAAAGGGAGTGTCTTAGTCACAGCTCCTTTCTTTGATTTCTCCTTGCTGAAATAAAGATGAAACTATAGCACTTTTGTATCATCATTTCCGTTAGGTGTCTCTTGCATTCATAAGTCTTTTGTCCTTTTGAGATCAGATGTGAGGCTTGGGGTCTGGCTCAAGTGGTAGGGCACTTGCTTAGTAAACATGAAGCCCTGAGTTCAAATCCCGGTACTAAAAAACAAATGTCAGATGCAACCTGAACCCTAACTCTAGGGATATAACAGGGAGATGGAAAGTTTCTCCAGCGTATACCCTTACTGCAGAATTTCTGGTGCTCCCCAGACAGTTAAGCGATGAATTGCAGTTTCATTTACTTTGTCCTGTCGTCTCTTACGCACATAAATGGTAAGAAGCAGCGTGCATATGCTGCAAATCGTGCATCCATGTTCTGGTGAATTACCCACCCTTGGCCCTGCAACTCTGTGGGTCACCGCTGTCACTATCACCAGCAGCCAGAGCTCTTCAGCAGGCTTTTTGAGAGACAGTTGAAGTGTTAAATGATCCTTTCTGCTGACCATAAAATAAAGCCTCTTTAACCACTGCTCCTTATCCCCCAGCTGCTCTTACCAAGGCTGTGAAGAGAGACATTATGCCCTAGGCAGCTACTAGTAATAAGCAGCCATTCTTAACCAGGCTCCGTAGTACACGCCTATAATCCTAGCTACCCAGGAGGCAGCCCTGTCTCAAAAAGTGGTGGAGTGGCTCAGTGTAGGTGCTGAGTTCAAACCTCATACCACCAAAAAAGTCATTCTTACATAGTCCACTGTCCCCTACCCACATATTTTATACCTGTGAAATAACTGAAAAAAGAAATGCACAGAAGCAAATGGCATGTGGACTTTTTTTTTCCCCCAGTACTAGGGTTTGAACTCAGGGTCTACACCTTGAGTCACTCCAGCCCTTTTTTGTGATGGTGTTTTCAAGATAAGGTCTCTCGAACTGTGATCTGTGCCTCCTGAGTAGGATCACAGGTGTGAGCTACTGGTACCTAGCTGGGTTTTTTGTTTTTTTTTTAGTAGTAAAAGTAACAGTAAAGTGTATTAGGAAAGGAATTTGGCATGACTGGATAAGAATGGGGAGAAGTGAAAAGAAAGGGAGAAACATTTCCTGCTCCCCTCACCCCCATGAAGGAAATGGGAGACTCTACATTTGGGTTGTTAAACTCTAGTTCATTGTGACAACAGGTTTTCCTCAGTCTGTTGTATTGCCCTAGTGCATTGGTGAGCAGTGGGGGAAGAACCTGAGCACACGTGGGTGTGAGAGTGGTGAAAAGCTAGTGTAGAGTCAGAAAGAAAGAGTTGGCAAGGTACTGGGGAAACCTAGACCCTGAGCACAACTGCAGCTGTAGCCCTTTGCCCTAGTCTTGCTGAAAGTTGAGATGAAATGTCCAAATACCATTTTGTGATGTGAATGATTTTCTACCAGGCAGTGGGTTGCACTGAGCTAGGCATGCTGTAACCTTGTAGCAACAAGTATGGGAGAGAGATAGGCCAGGGCTAAGAGACGGCAGCCCATTACCTAGGAAAAAAGCAAAATAGACTACATAGAGAAAGCCAAAGAGATACCTAGTTGCCCTGAGTTAACCAACAATACGCCATAAGGTCGGGGAGGTTACACTGGCCCAAATGTCCTCAGCTGTTTGCATAATATCCACTTGTCTTTACATTTATATACTAATTTATACTTTGCAATGAATTTCATATATTTCCTGAGTACCCCTTATAGATGAGTAAGTTGAAAGATGAGAAATACTTGCCAAAAGTGGAAATAACTGAAATGTCCATTGGCTGATGGATAAATAAAACATGGTATATATAAACAATAGGATATTCTTTGTTAACAAAAGGAATGAAGTACTGACTTATGTCACAACATTTGAAGTAACCAAGCACCTTAGCTCCTTGGGGGGGAGGGGGGCTGAGATCAAAAGGATTACAGTTTTGAGGCCAGCCCAGGAAAATAGTTCACAGACCCCACTCCAAAATAACCAGAGCAGCCAGGCAGTGGTGACTCATACCTGTAATCCTAGCTTCTCAGAAGGCAGAGAGATCAGGAGGATTGCAGTTCAAAGCCCAGGCAAATAGTTGGGAGACCCTATCAAAAAAAAAAAAAATCACAAAAAATGATTGGTGGAGTGGCTCAGGTGTAGGCCCTGAATTCAAGCCTCAGTACCACACACACACACAAAGCAAAATGAACTGGGGTTGTAGCTCAAACAGTAGAGCACCTGCTTTGCGAGTTCAAAGCCCTGAGTTCAAACCCCACTCCCACCAAAAAAAAGTGAAAGCCACCAGTCACATAACGCCACATATTGTATAATTCTATTTATATGTAATGTCCAGAATAGGGAAATTATGCAAATATCACAGATTATTGGTATCCTAGGATTGAGGGGAATTAGGGAGTGAATGCTAACAGAGTATGGAGTTTCTTAGGGAGTAAGATTGTGAAGTGGTTGCACAACTCTGAATATACTAACACTGAGTTATATACTTGAATGGGGAGGGGTTTTTTTGTTTGTGGTACTGGGGTTTGAACTCAGAGCTTTGCACTTGCTAGGATGGCACTCTACCGCTTGAGTCACACCCTAGTCCATTTTGCTCTGGTTCTTAAAAGTATTTGCCTGGGCTGGCCTCAAACTGCCATCCTCCCCATCTCAGCCTCCCAAGTAGCTAGGATTACAGCTGTGAGCCACCAGCGCCTGGCTTAAATGATGTATTTTTATGCTATGTAAATTGTACCTCGAGTTGTACTTTTTTGTGGCTCAAGTGGTAGAGCACATGCCTAGCAAGTGCAAGGCTTTGAGTTCAAACCCTAGTGCCACCACACACACACACACACACACGTCAGTTTTTAAAAGTTTAAAAAGTAACTTACTAAGGTTATACATTGGCTCTTGAGAATGTTACAAAGAAACCCTAGTGAACTTGGGTGTATTACACTCACCTCAGTACAACCACTGCCACACCATGTCGTTTTTCCCACTACCTTGGGCTGGAGGCAGCTCCAGCTTCCATGGAGTCAAGATTAACACAGAGCAGTCAGTGGTGGTGGGGGCACTCTTTGGCCCACAGCATTAGCGGTGTGTGTTGGGGAGCACCTGTTCTGCACAGATGGATATACCAATAAAGTTAGAGAAAAGAGTCACCTTCCCACAAATCCCAGGTAATCATGTTAAGAGGTCCAGCCTGCTCTGCCTCATGTTATTACTTTGTCCCTGTGGGAAGAAAGAATATCACACCCCAGGGGATCAGTGTATTGTTTACTCAGTCAATCAACATTTATTGAGTGCCCACAGTGTGCAGAGCTAGTGTGGGCCAGGATTCAAAGGATCCCCTGAGGGGATCTACAAGATTAATGGAGAATATTCCCTCTGCCCTCAAACAGCTGAGGGGGAGAGTTCCAGGTTCAGGGGTCTCCCAACAGAATGAGAGGAGATCAGTATCTATAAAAGCAGTTTCAGGACACAAAGATAAGGGAAGTCATTCTCCAAACTGAACGATAAGGGCCGTGGGCCTCCACATTACTACAAGTGTTTTTAAACCTAAATTGACACCTTCACACATTCCTGTGTTTTGTAGGAGGTGGAGGGACAGAGATGGCAGACCTGGGGAAAATACTCTGAGGGTTTTTTGCAAAGAGGGAGGGAGAAGGGACGAAGAAGCAGATCCAGAATGCAAAAGACTTAAGCAAAAGTATAAAAACATAAGAAAGCCAAGTACCAGTGACTCACTCCTGTAATCCAGCTGCTCAGGAAGCAGAGTCAGGGGGACTGACATTCAAGGCCAGCCCGGAGAAAAAGTTTGAGAGCCTATCTCCAAAATACCAAGCACAAAAAGGGCTGGCAGAGTGGCTCAAGTGTAGAGCGCTTGCCTAGGAAGCATGAGCCCTGAGTTCAAATTCCAGTACTGCCAAAAACATAATTTGAGTGAATTTGATCAAAGTGCTATATATGCATGTGGGGAAATGTCATAATGAATCCCTGTGGTGCAATTAACTTAGGCCAATAAAAGGAAGAAACAGGAGAAAAGTGGCTGAGACAAAAAACACAAAATAGCTTCAGAAGTTGAGTTCTGGGCTGGGCTGGGGTTCAGTGGCAGTACTTGCCCAGCTATGCATGAGGCTCTGGTTCCATCCCCAGCACTGAAAAAACAAAATTAGTTCAATAGTGTCAAATACTAGCAGGATAGAGCTGGAAATCTTTTTATTTCTTTGACTTACGAATTTATTGTTGATAAGTAGATACACTTATTTGCTCTACTTTTAAAAACTGATTTATATCAATAAAGAACATTTGAAATGCATAAAGTAGAGAATTAAGTATAATTATATCAGTTAGGTGAGCTTTAAAAGAAAAAAAAAGAGAGACTGTAAATTCCCCAGCACTCTCCCCAAAAGAAAAGACTGTGTGTGTGTGTGTTTCCTTGGTTTCCAACACAAACATCCTCTGTAAATCCCCCCTGAGGCTCTGTCCCCAGTAAGGGAGACTGCAGTATGGACCCCAGGAGAGCAGGAGGTAGTGTGGAGGTCGCCCTCTAGCCTGGGCACTTCCCCGGCACCTCCTCCCACGGAAGCTGCTAGGGTTTGGCCTGTGCAAACAGCAGGCACTTTGCCCTGGGTCAATATTTCACATCCGTTGTCAGCGTCTAGCGTCCTCCACATCTGTTCTCTGCCCTAAAGAGGAGCAGGCTCCCAGAGCTTTGGCTACCCCTCCCAGTCCCCCGTGCGCCTTAGGGCTTGTCCTTTCCCCTCTGAACCCTGTAACTCCACCTGAGTAATGATCTTCCTCAACCTACAACTAAAAACTCTCTACCTGGACGCCTCCTTCTGGGGCTTGGCGAACAACAGGTGCCTCTGGCTGAATTCAAAGACCCTCACCTGCCTTGTCTTCACCACAATCCAGGTCCTGCAATTCCCCTCTGTTGCCTTCATAATTAGATGGTCAATTCCTTGGTATCTCCTGGTGGGCTTAGAACATACTCTCATCCAGGGTCCTGCTTCTACTCTGTGCCACCTGACTCCTGCTTCTGATGTTAACCTACAGAGCCCTGTGGACACACATTCATTGAATATCTTCTCAAAACAGATAGGAAGAACCAGGTATGGTGGTTCATGCTTGTAATTCCAGCACTTGGGATGCTGAGGCAAGAAGATGACAAGTTCAAAGTCTGCCTGTGCTATAGAGCAAGACCCTGTCGAAGGAAGAAAGGAAAGGAGGGAGGGAGAGAATGAGAAAGAGAAGAAAACCAGAGCAGGAAGAAGAAAAGCAGTTAAATGGGTGATAAAGTATACTGGGAGCGTGAGTACCCATTGTTTGCTCACCACCATTGGCTAGATAAGGCAACTGACTATGTTTTTATTTTGATGTACACCTGTCTTGTTCTTAGAACCATCTCCCAAGAACAAGGACAAACTGTGCTGTGCTTGTTCCCCCTTGGTGCAAACCTTTGACCTGACTCCTCACTGATTATTTAAACCCAGTATCTACTGAGAAACAAGCACCTCAGCAGATAGGAATATCCACCCGAGTAAGTGCTGTTGTGGATGAGGGAGGCAAGGCTGAGGAAGGATGGACTTTGAGGGTCGCACAGCTGAAGGATGTAGGGCACGGTGAACCTGGTTATGGAAGAGTGGGGGGTGGGCGTGGAGCCTGAGGCTGACTTCCACTCAGTCACTCTCCTCTCTGCAATAAAGTTCAGAGTCCAGGAAATTCCCTGCAAGTGACTGACTCTTAAACTTCCCTGAAGATAAGAACTGCTTGGCCAGAGCTGCCCTCACCTCTTGCCATCCCCTCAGCTGGTGCTCAGTAACCCCATCTTTCCCAG